GGTGAAAGGTGTTCATCAACGGGTTTGGTTTTGGGGTCACAACCTAGCAAATATACGAACCGACTCGACGAATTAATTCGGAAGAAATTAATTCGTCGCCCGAGTGTTAAATATTTAGACGTCGGAAATTCGAGCTTGGAGCGTCAAAACCGAGAGTCTGAGAATCTCAAATTTCGAGCCAAAATTTAGGATTTGGCGAGACGGGAAAAATGCTTCAAGTAACAAGTAAAATCCTAGCCACGAAAAAGGCTATGAAAGCGCGCCCAATAAGTGTTTGCCACGTGGAAGCACACATGGCCAAGCGCCATGTGGCAGCACACGTGGAAGCCACCTAGTGGTAGCCGCCAAGTGACAGCCATCTAGTGGCAGCCGCCAAGTGGCAGCGTTCCACGTAGGTAGCATGCCACGTTGGCAGCGTGCCACGTGCCGTGGACCCGGGGCGATGGGTCATGGACACGGGCCAAATTAAAATAGCTCAACCGAACCCAATTTGGGGCTCAAGGTTGGGTGACACATGGTTAGTTCACATTGCATGTGAATTGCCTTGGGGACCAAGTGGGAAAGTGGTCCTCACCTAACCATGTGACACTTGTTACTTATTCCTTGGTTTATTTAACTAAGGATTGAATTCATCAATCTTTCCATGTGGGAACTTTTTGTGAAAAAAGCCCACATAGAAAGATGAGTGGAATTCAAAAGCTATCCTTCCTTATAAATAGCCATAGCATGGCTTGAGAATTCTTTGCTTGAGTGGGAGTTAGAAAGAGCATTGCATTTTGGCAAAAACTCTTAAACTCCATTAACACTTGGGTTTTGGTCGGACCTTGCTAACTCCAAGGTAGCGGACCTAAAAAGTCGGTGTTCGTCCTTTGTGGGTGGATAGCGTTGGAGGCTCGGTATTTTCGGAGCTAAAGCTTTCAAGTAAGAGCCCATTAGGTCGGGTGAAGCACGCGTCAAAGGTAAATTCCGATTTTATCCTTTTATAATTATTTGTTATGCTTTATGGTTTTATTAATTGCGAGTGGTTCTTTGGGTCGGGTCGTTTCCGCGGTAAGTTGGACTTACCAAACCCCAAAAAAAACATGCACACCAATTAAATATAGGAAAGCATACATGCAAAGGGAAAATCCCGAGATGTAGAATGTCCAAAGAAAGAGCTAAACAAGAAAAAAGAAAAAGAAAAGCCTCAAAAATGTTTTTTTTTGTAAATGAAAGAAGGAAAAGAGCTAAAAAAATCAAAAGATAGAGTGAAAAGCGCAAGAATGCAAGCAAAGACAAGTAATACCCAGTCGTCAAACAAGTGGTCATTCGGCAACAACACCAATGACCCCGAACACGCAAGGTGTTACAAAGCAAACATCCTCGAACCATTCAACTCATCCTAAAGCTAATCCTAAACTATGCAACCAAGAAAGAAAGAGAAGATATATAGAAAGATCTCACCGAGCGCCAAAGCTATGCTACATAAATTAAGGTGTAATAGAACCCTACAAACCGTTGAATTCAAAGCTTAAGCAATAGAGCACGGTGAGAAATAAAAAAAAAAACTATATACAAAGAAAATTGTTAGTAACTTCCAAACAAAAACAAACAAAAGAAAATGAAGAAAATAAAATAATGAAAATAAAGAAAAAGCAAATAGCAACAGGAGTAATATCCAATGAGACATAAGACCGAAATAGTAACAAGAAGCAAGATATCAGATAATCATCATCAGGAATCATCATAACAGAGATATAGAGAAACGCATCAGACATCGATCAGCGAATCAAACAACGAATCCAAAAAGCCGGGCAGAGAAATCAATAGAAGCATAATATCATCATAAAACCAAAGGATGCAGAGATTGATACTAGAAGCAGATGAGACCAGGAATGAACTACAAAAGCAAGGGGGAAAATCAACAAAGCACAACAACAAACAACATATAATACCCCCAAGCTTAAAATGGGCCACCCCCCTAAACTCTAAACCTAAAGACATATAGGCAAAAGAGAATCGTCATATAAAGCACAAAAGAAGGGGGCCATGGTAGTATCATTCCGCACTATGGTAAGGGGTAGAATGAGAACTCCCCTCACCGGTCTCCATCAAATGACTAGAGCTTGTCATCTCGCTCACCTCCATGGGAGCCTTACCCCTCAACCGACTTTCCCTCCTAATTCTATCAAGCTCAAAATAATGAGACCAATCATCAAAGATCGGCTCACCCGACCTACCCCACCTACCAAAAGTCTCGGGTTCCGGAAAAGGCGAAGGATTAGCTGGATCATACGTATAATCACAACCACCGATTCGCCTATAGTCGTAAGTGCCTGGGGTAGTGCCTATGATAGAACTATGGTGAATATGGGGGCCCTCCTAATAAGGGTAACAAAGTCTAGGACCCACAGCGGGATCAAAAGGCTCCCATTGAGGGACATGTCCTTGTTGGACCGGGAGGTACGGATAGTTGACGTAAGGTTCTATCTCCCCCCTCCAAACATGCAAATCATATAATTGATACGTATGGTAATCATAACCAAGGTAAGGGGGTTGCACAGAAGGCATGGAGTACAACATGTTAGCAATAGAATCAAGCTTGGCACGAATTGTTGGCATATCAAAAGTACAAGGAGTGATAAGGTGGAAAGAGTAGGTGTACCTTCCGGTTCAACCGGGGGAAGAGAATGAGCAATCGATGAGCACGCATTGGTTGAACGGCCTCTTGTACAATTTGTCCTTCGTTGGATAGAGAGATGAACATCTCATACCGGGGGCCTCCAAGACAAAGAATCTCTCTCCTCGGGTCGAATAGTTGCCTCCTTGAAAGGGATGAGGAACCATTCCTTATACCGAGAAACCTTCCAAATGAAAACATCGTCCTTCATTGTTCGATCAAGAAATTTTTTATTCACTAGGGCAGAGATGTTTAGGAAATGTGAGGGAGACTTTTCTTGAGGAGCAATGATCGGGGGAAGCTCATCTAACATGGTTTTGTAATCATCATTGATGCAAAGAGCTAGGATAGAAATCATCCCACCCAATTGGGCACCCCGATAAGCAAACTCCATCACGAATATCCAAGAATCGAGAGATCAGATGCTCCATGAAATCCATCGACACAATCTCAAAGTCATTTTGGTCGGCTATCCACAACCAACAAAGCTCCTCACGGGAGATAGCTCCCAAAGAATCCTTGGAGCAAAGAGCTTATGTGAGGATTTGGTTGAAATACCGCATAGCCGGATGAATCATGGAAGCGGAATTTGAGGTTTGAGGGCCATACTTTCCTTCCTCCGACATACTCCTCCACCAACGTTTCTCATCATATCCATGCTCACTAGCCGGATAGATACAATGATCCGGATCCTCGACCTAAGGAAACTTGAAATATGAACATAGTTGAGCATCCGTCAATGAGTGATCATTGTTGAAGAGTTGGAAAGTCAAAATCTTTGAGTAATTTTCACCCTAGCATAAGTAGGGGCACTCAAATCCAAGATCAAGGCCTTTTGCAAGGAGGCGAACATCCTCATCGATCCCTAGAAATTTTGTTGTCGTTTGATCGTAGAAATGCGTTGGCCTAAGCTTTCTATTGGAAAGACGTTTGAAGCACTCCCAATGAGATTCTTTTGAAAACTCAATGCCATAAGTGTCCTTAACCTCGGGTGGAGGCGGAATAATATACCTTGGCTTGCTTGAACTAGCTCTAGCTCGCTTCTTATGGCGAAGTGTGGCCATCTACAAAGTATCAAGACTTAGCATAAGTAGTTGTTCAACAACAAGCATAAAATGGAAATATTTCAGAATAGAAGCAAGAAATGGTAACAAATGAACAATGCCATTGATAACATCATGAATATTAAGCAAAAAAACATGGATTGAAGGCAAATTTGAACATGCCCCTAAAACCATCTCTTTCAATTCTCTCATTTTTCCCTCCTAAAACCCTATACCCTCTCTTGCAATATCAAACCTACTTCACCTCTTTTGCTATCATTTCAACATCAATTTCAATTGCCAACATCAAGTTTTCAAATCTAAAACCCAACAATTTCAGATTTCCTTCCCCAATTCAATCAAATAAAAATATTAGGACCTTTTTCAAAATTTTTGAAGTTTTGTGTTGAGGTTTGGAACTTGTTTTTGGGAGTCTTATTTGTTCTTACATCTTCATTTTGAGCATTTTTCAAGCATTTCAAGGCTTCATTGAGGTATGGTTTCTTATTGTCTATTCATCATCTTCCGTGCGCGCAACAGAGGGTCGCGCCCCCTCCTGATAATGTCGCGCCCGCGAGAAGTTCTTGGTCGGAATTTAGCATTTTTGGTGCACAGGCATCCACGCCCGCGGCATATAGGCCCGCGCCCGCGGGTGATCTATGTGGTGTGTGCACCTAGCTTAGTGCGTGCGCACCACATACATCTCAGGAAGGCTCTAAAAAGAGAAACCCCCTTAATAATGCTTTCGCGTTTTCATTCTCACCGTCCCTATCAAATATCATGATCAAGGACTTAAAATTTTCATAAGAAACAATCCAAAATATGGTTAAACATGAATAAAAATCGATGGGAATGCAAACACGAGAACGTATAACCTCAACGAACCCTTTCCTCTAAGCTTAACCAAACCTCACGAAGTCTTGAAGTAGCACCAAATTGTTGGAAATTTTCTCTGAACCAATCCCATGGTACCTAGGATCAAAAGAACAAACCAAAATAGAGAGAAATAAGAAAAGTTCTCAAAGAAGGAAATAAAGAGAAATGTAAGATCAAAGAAAAAGGTTAGAAAACCGGGTTGCCTCCTGGGTAACGCTTTTGGTTAATGTCGTTAGCTCGACATCTTCCACCCATTAAGGTGGTTGTCGGAGAAACAATGAGTCCATGAAACCAACAAGAACATCGTCGAAATACTTCATTAGACGATTGCCATTAGCCTTGAACGGATAAAGAATATCTTTCATTGAGACTTCTACAAAACCATTTGGAAAACCACTCTTGGCCGAATTGGGACCATTCCATCATGATCCCTTGATGCTAAGGTGTGATGGAAAAGGTTTGAACTCAACCATTGATACACCTTCACCTTCCTTTAAAGTGGCGGCTTGCAAAGCTTCTTGTCTAGAGATATTAATGCACATATGCTCATCCACTTCCTCAATGCTTCCATTAAGAAAATCCTCATACATTGCCACTTCCTTGATAGGAGCACTTATCTTATCCTTATTCAACAAAACATTCTCAAGAGGATCATTACAAGTGAGCAAGTGCTCATGCAAGGAAGATATAACAAGATCAAGAGAATCGATCAACTTGTAATTTTCTAAAGATGAACATGGATATTTCATGCTTTCATTCAAGTCAAATTCAACAACCTCTTCTCCTACCTTGAGTGAATTTTTTGCACTCTTAACATCAATCATATCACCCGAGGTAGCAAAAAAAGATCTACCAAGAATAATGGGAATGGTAGCATCTTCATCCATTTCAAGCACCACAAAATCTACCGGAATTACAAACTTCCCTACTCTCAGAGGAACATCCTCAACCTTCCCCTTAGGAATCTTAATTGACCTATCGGCCAATTTCAAGGTAATCTTAGAAGGCATAAGTTCCCCTAACTCAAGTCTTTGATAAACTGGATATGGAATTAAGCTAACACTAGCTTCTAAGTCACATAAGACATTATCAATTTGCATCTTGTTAATGGCATAAGGGATAGAGAAGTTTCCGGGATTTTTCAACTTGGGTGGCATCTTGTTCATTATAATTGCACTACAATTCTCGGTCAAGTTGACCGTCTCCATCACATCACAAGACCTCCTACCACTCAAAATGTCTTTGAGGAATTTTGTATAGTTGGGCATTTAGGTAACAACTTCGGTAAAACGTAGAGAAAGATGAAGTTGCTTAAGCATGTCAATAAATCTTCCTAATTGTTCATCCAACTTATGTCTCATGAATTTTTGTGGATATGGAAGCTTGGGTTTCACAATCTCTTTCTCCACTCTCACCTCTCTAGGTGTCTCAATCACAACCTCACTCAAAGATGCACCATTTCTCTCATCCTCTACCAAGACCTCCTTAGGGACCTCCTTAGTTCCACTCTTCCAAGGCAAACTCTCCTCAATAACCTTACCACTCCTTGTGACAATAGCATTCATGGGTATCTTGGGATCTAAGCCTTGGGAAGGTAAATAAGAAGGACTAGCATTGTCTTTCAAAGCATTAGCAAGTTGAGAAATTTGGTTTTCAAGCATCTTATTATGAGTCATTACTTCATTGAATTTCTTGTCACTTACGGCCATGTAAGTGCTCAACGACTTTGTTTGATTTTCAATGATTTCCTCCAAATTAGTCCTAGAAGAAGAGGATTGTGAATAAGAATTATCAACTTGAGTCTTTGGAGCAAATCCGGGTGGAGGGCTTCTTTGAGCATTATTTTAAAAATTGCCTCTCCCTTGATTGTTCCAATTACCCCTATTTTGATTGTGACCATAACCTTGATTATGGTTACCACCACCTTGATTATGATTTTCATAACCTTGGTTTTGATTACCATAATTTTGGTTTTGATTTTGACCACTATAACCCTGATTGTTATAGTTACCACGAGAACTTTGGTTCCCTTGGTTTCTATAACCACCACCTTGGTTATAATTGTCAAAATTACCATGGTTTTGGTAATTCCTATCCCATTGACCCCTTTGGTTATCAAACCTTTGCACATTATTATTGTTTGACACAAAGTTCACATGTTCACTCTCATTATTATCAAAATCATCATTACTCTCCGGGAACGCATGAGGGCAATTACTAGAATCATGATCATATGAACCACACACATTACAAAACAAATAACCACTAGGCATGTTACTAGAAGAAAGAGGGGGATGAGAGTTAGAAGGAGTACCTCTCCCCTTAAATTGGGAGGGAAGACTTGGAGCTTGGGAAGAAGAACTCTCCAATTTTTCCTTGATTGCACTCACTTCCTTCCCCAAGTTTGCCATTTATGAGGAGAGATTGTTGATTGCATTCAAATGATCAACCGAGTACACCGAAGAGATACTCTTGCTAGTTGATTCTCTCTCACCATCTTTCCAATCTCTATAATACTTCACAACATCCTCAATGATGTCCACCACTTCTTCTTTAGTCCTATTCATGATGGGACCTCCGGCTCCTCCATCTAGGCATGACTTGCCTTGGGGACTTAGGCCTCCATAGAAAATCTGAATAATTTGATAGGTTGGAATCCTGTGGTGTGGACACTCCCTTTGATACTCCTTATATCTCTCCCACGCTTCATAGAGGCTCTCACTTGGCTTTTGTTTGAAGCCTTGAATCAAAGCTCTTGCCTCCGCCGTTTTCTTTTGTGGATAGAAACGAGTTAGAAATTCCTTTGTAACCTCGTCCCATGTAGTTAGAGAATTCGGCTTAACCTCCCTGTCTAGCCATTCCAAAGAACGCCCAATGAGAGAAAAGGGAAAGAACTTGAGGCGGATGAATTCTTGGGAAACTCCGTTTACCTTGATAGTATTGAAATATTTTTCAAATTCCTTGAGATGATTTACCGGGCTCTCATTCTTGGCTCCACTAAATTTTCGCCTCTCTATCAAAGTAATCATAGTCGGCCTAATTTAAAAATCATTTGCCGGAGTTGTAGGTGGAGCAATTCCACTCTCAAATCTATATGCACCGAGAATCCCCAATTCTTTCAATGTTACTCTCAGGTTCTCTCCCATTCTTACTTGTTCCTCTTGTTGCGGTTCTTCCTCACTTAGAATGCTAGAGCTAAAAGATCGCCTAGAAACCCTTAGTTTTGTAATAGTCCTCTCGATCTCCGGATCAAATGGCACAAGTGAATGACCACGTGCTCTATGCATACAACTCAAAGGAAATGATTAGTAGCACGGCTACAAGTGTAGCCTTAAAGAGGAAAATCATTTTGTTTTTTTTAGAATGAAATAGACTCAAAAACTATAACAAAGCACCAATGTCATTCCCCGGCAACGTCGCCATTTTGACAAGGGGTTGGAACTAGTTCGTCATCTAATTCTCCCTAAGTCAAACTAAATTTGTAAACGCTTAACAAACCTTATACGAGTATAGAGGTAAGCTAAGGGTCGAACCCAAAGGAATGAATCAAAGCTATGTTATAATCTAATGTTAAGCTAAATCGAAGAATTGACAATGGTTGAGTATGGTAACTAGGATAACAAGAATCAAGAATTCAATAAAATTGCTAAACACTAGGGATATAGGTTCCACATGCAAGCTTAATAATCATGCTAATTGATAGATCACCCAATTGATTCATACATTGCAAGGGACAAACGATAGTTGCAATCAAAGGAATTCAAAGGTTACCTCCTATAAACCAAACTAGGGTTCACTATGAATGATTAACAAGGAGAATCACAATCAAATTCAATCAATTTAAGAAATTCCCAAATCAATTGTTCGTGTCATTGGAATTTGCAATGTGTAGACACCTAAAAATGTTTCCCCAAAACCAAACCCGATGATGAACAACCCTTCACCGCCACTATTGGTCGGGTTCAGTATTTAATCTCGAGAGTGCTTAAAAAATCGTATTTAGTTAAATTCAATTTTTGAATAGTCCATGGATCAGTCTTGATGTTTAGTCAAAGCATAGTTCTTTTTAACCCAATTAATAATAATAAATCAGAAATGCCCGAAATTATCAATCGGTACTTAAAAATGATGAACGAAATTAGAGTTAAAAATGAATTTAGACGGAAAAACGGACTACAAACTCCTGCATCACGGCATTTATCCACCGTGTCACGGGAAACTGCCCCGTCAGACGGTGGGATTCCCTGTGACACAGTGCACCTGCTGTGACACGGGGAATTCCGTGTCCGTTTCGCGTAAACCCTTCACGCGTTTTATTCCCCGTACCCTAAAATATTTCTCGTGTCACGCATCTGTTCACCGCGTCACGGGAATGTTCCAGTGTGACGGTGGGATTTCCCGTGTCACGGTTCCCTTTGCCGTGTCGCGGTGCATTTTTTTAGGGTTTTTATCTTTTTAGGGTTCCGTGTGTTCCCTCAGCACATTTTTTCTATAAATACCCCCTCATTTCTGGTGTACGGGGTATCAATTAATTCTCTATTTTTCTCTCCTCTATGCTCTAGCCTAAACACTAGCCTACCCTTTTCTTTCAAAATTCCTTCTTCAAGCACTCCAAGGAGTCCATACTTTACTCGTGGTTCTATCCTTAAGCCAAGGCGTGAAAGGTAGAACTGTTTGAGGGTTTGGCCCCAAATCAACTCTATTTAATTTAATTTAATTTAATTATCGTTTTATTATTATTTCCTTGAGGTTACTAACTTGTTTATTATTTTATAGTTGCAAGCAAACAGAATCAAAGTAAGAATTATGTTCCTTTTATTTCTATTATTTTTCTAACGATTTTATATTGTTGGATTTATTGTTAAATTTCTTCCAATATTAATGCTTATTTTATTATATTTATTGATCACCATATTGCATGTTAAAGGGAATATGTAATTGAAAATCACGCCTAATAAGATAATTTGGAGAACCGGCTTAGGTTCCTTTTTAATCTTGTTATTTAATCAAGTGATCACAAATTTTATAGAATTATATGTTGCATTAATATTAAACCAATTTAGCTTAATAATAGTTTGGAGCGAATTGAATCTATGTTTGTATGCCTTTGAGATTACAGGAATGCTTTTCACTATAAGAATCGAGTAGAGGCTACGGGCCAATGTGACTCCATGACTCACTTCGTACCATCATCCCCGATCCTCCTTTCGTGGTTCCGAACCATATGGAGTTAGTAATCTCATGGATTATGAATGGGGTGTAACCTTCATGGGTCAATCGTTGTTGCCTATCGTTGTCCCTTATCGTGGTTGCCTTTTTCTGATTCGTGAACGGTTTACAAGTTCCTTAAAAACTTGTTGGCGGCTCCCTACTTTCCTTGTCCTTAACCGTATACGTTAATTCCCACTTCCTATGAGTGCCAAGCATATTCAAAACATGCTTTTTATGTAGGCGCACTTCGAGCGACGCCTACACAATGCAATCTAGATTAATATTATAGGTTGATCACTCCTAGTCTAATTAATCACATGCACAACCATGTCAACCAATTTAATTGCAACAATCAATCAATTAAGGATCATCAATTAACAATAATCATCAATCAAGCATGCTTCCCCTTCTCCCTAGCAACTAATCTACTCACTAATCATGGTGACTTCTAAAGCTAAAATAAATTCAATCACAAACACATCATTTCAAGCTAAATCAAAAGGAAATTCAATCAATCAACAAATTCTCAAAACTAAATCAAAATCCAAACCAAACATTCAAGCATAAAAGTAAATTGCAATTAAAGTAAATTCAAAGGAAAGAAATCTTACTAACTTTGATTGATATGAAGAAGAATCACAAACTTGATAGAAAAAACAATGTTGAATTACAATTCAAATCCTAAGATTACAATCTCTACTTTCTCTCTAACTTCTCTCTAGTTTCTCTCTCTAAAAACTAAGCAAATGAAATATTATCTAAAAGTTGCCCCTCAAAAGGATTCAAAAGAGTATATATAGACAAAGAAGAAAAGTTGATCGGTCGCGCCCTCTCCACGAAGACTCCGCGGGCACGCAGAAATGGGTACGAAACCCATAACTATCTCCGCGGGCAGTCTGGGCAAAACCCGCGCCCACGGGTACTGTAGCCCGCTCCCGCGGCTCAGGACGCGGCAAAATGCCCTATTTCAGGAGAAGTAGGGGGCCGCGGTCTATCTGAAGTGGAGCACCCTCTCCAAAATCTCCGCGCCCGCGGGAAGACCGCGGCTAGGGCGCAGAGAGTTGTAGGAGTTTATAGGTACTACGCAGCGAAAATAACATGAATCATATTCAATCAAGTACTAATCCCAAGAATCACATGCATAACACACAAGACACATAATCATACCTTTGACGCGTGAATTCCACGAAGCTATTCGACAGGCAAATCAGGGAGAGAATAGAGCCCCAAGCGTTGCTCCTCTACTTAGTCCACGAGATTCGAACGAGTCGTCCACCAATACTAGATTGGTCGAGTGATTGAGGAAAATCGCGATCACCACCTTTACGGACAACCGACCACCGCACAAACCACCACCACCACGAGACACCACCGGCGCCAATGAGGAGGAGGAGAGAGCCGTGTGAGAGAGGACTATGAGAGGGGTTGGGTTTCGTGTTTTCTAATTCGGGTTTGATCACACTGATCAGTTAATTCCATCTCTCCTTCACTACTACAAAACCCATATAATCTCGACACTATTACCTCGACACTGTGAAAGACCGTCAATGCTAAAATATAAACCGCGTTTCACCTCTGTCGTAAGCTTTTGCTGACTATTTAAAGCGTCGAGGTACCACGTGCCTTCCTTGTGGTAAAAGAAGCCCAATAGTTCCAAGCCCGCGAATGAAATTTTGGGAAAACTTAAACTGCTTAATTGAAAATTAAAAATAAATTAAAAAAAAAAAAAAACTCACGCACTCAGACTACTCCTCTCTGTTCATTCATTTCATCAGTTACCTTCTCCACTTAGCCCTAAGTTTTTCCTCTTTTGAATTCATACATCACTTCTCAAAATCTAAGAATCATCATTGCTTATCATCATCTTGTTTCGCCGAAGGTAATATTTTTTGTTTTTTTATTTTTCGTCGATTGTTTTTTGTTTTTCCTTCAATTCAATTCGTGTAGATTGATTTTAGGGTTTTAATTATGTTTATTGTTATGAAAATTATTGTCAAAGATGAGTTTAAATCTTGATAAAATCATCAATTATATTTACAAATTAGTTAATGATTCAGATTTGTTCCCTCTCTTGAATTTTTCAGTATTTTTTTCCCTTAATTTTCCTTGAAAGTGTGAATTGTCCATTTAATTTGTGAGTTGACGAAATTATTAAGAATATATTAAAAAATTACAGATCTAAAGTTGCTGCCTTTATTGAAATTTTTAGTTTTTTTGGTCTTAATCACATCTAAATTATGATTTTCTAGAAAAAGAATGCATGAAAAAGAAAATAGGATTTTTTGTAGGAGGAGTTGTTAGATTCTTTATTTTAGATGATGGGTTGTGCAGCTAAACTATATATAAAATTGTTGGAATTTTGCATGATTGTTGAACCTTGGTTGATCAACTCAATTTTCTTGTTGCTTTTGACATGATTGTCATAGATTTTTGCAATTGTATAGTCATTGAACTCTTGTAACTCAATTTGTGTCGGACATTCATTGTTTATTTTCTGTTCTGACTACATCACGTAGCCTTAATTGCAACCATTTTTTAAATATTGTAATTATTGTGAAGCACTGCTATCACAGAAATTATAATGGCATTTCTTACAAAAAGACTATATAAAATAGGAAGTATCAAAGTATATGCGTTGTAGTTGAAAATACTGGACTTATCTCCGATCCATAATTGAAGTTTCTTTTAGTGACCTTATCTTATACAACCTTATGTTTCAGTCTTTCAGAGGGTGACATCAAATTTTTTTAGATTATAATGCTCAAATAATAGAAGTTAGGAGATTAATCGAAGCGTATTCCGTAAACAAAAATGTTAAGTGTGCATTTTTTCATGTTTAATTACAGTGGTAATTGCTATTTAATTACTTGTTGTTGATCTCCGTATTTCTTTACTGACAAATAATCAATCACTTTTTATAATTGCAATATGATTGCTTGCCTTCTTAATAATCACTCTATAATTGGTGATGTCTTTCAATTCACTCTTCTATTGTTCATATTATTAAATCCTCTATCAAATTATTAAAATTTATTTTGTTCTTTGACTCCTCAAATGTAAAACAAAGTGAATTCGACTATTCGGCGCAAATTAAAGCGGACAACGAACAACAAGATAATCTTGATCACAAGTACAAGTAGGCTTGAATCACATTTACACTCCTCTAGCCAGATAACTACTAGTAACCTTAAAGGCTTTAACTTTGATTAATATGTCTAAGAATGCATGATTGGGTAGCTAGAATTCATATTTCTTTTTCATGATTATATAATTATCATGTTTATTTATTGTTGTTCCTGTAATTAAAGATTAATTGCTTCCCTAACCTAAAAAGGCATGCTCTGATCTTAGGATTGGTTGTGTATTATTTTTAGTTGATTGATGATTTATTTATTGGGAGATTGAGTCATTTACATACTTAATAATAATCATAAGTTAAGAAGATTTTAAACTTTATTGCCTTTTGATTACCGTCATTATTGATACTTAGCTTATTCAAAATTTTAAGTGAATTCTAGATATTGTTCCATTGAAATTGATTTCTCTTCTCATATTTTGCTTAGAATAAAAATAATAATATATAATAATGTGAGCATGTTGTATCAATACTTTAAGACATATGCACTACATACTCTTATATGGCTTATGACCAAAGAATATCATGCTTTGGGTGGGATGTTGAACATGAATATAAATATATATTTCTCTTGTATTAATTTGAATCCAATATAAAAAGATTAAGTTATTTGATTTTTTGTAGAAATGGATACCAGGTGGATTGATTTGTGCACTGGGGAACCTATGTCTAGGAATGCATGATAGGGTAGAGTTTGAATTCATATGGCCCTATCATGATTTTGTAATTATCATGTTTACTTTTTATTGATTCTGCATTTGTAGTTTTTGTTTGGGTGAGTGATTTATTTAATTAATTTATCATAATTACAAGTTAAAAAGGTTAGTAAACTTTGTCCTTTGTTATTGTCAATGATGCTTATCTTATAAAAAATTTCAAGTGAATTTTTGGTATTCACCCGTATTATTCATAGAATGATATACTAATAATAATGTGAGCATGTTATAGCAATAGTTGAAGACATGTGCAATACTCTTATATGGCTTATGATTAAATGAGTTTCATGATTTAAGCCGGTTGTTAAACTTGAAAATTATTTAATATTGCTTTTTGTATTGAATTGTAATTTATTTTTATTTTATTTTACGGGGTAATTTTTTTTATTATTAAAAAAGTAAATAGAAAGTAATTTGGTGTTTTTGTAGTCATGGATACCAGTTGGATTGATTTATGCAATGGCGAACCTGCTTATTTCAAAGGTTGCATGAATTTTGTTAAACTTGCTAAGAAGACTCTTATAGATGGGAAAACTCGATGCCCATGTAATAAATGCAAAGTGAATGAATGGTTACCCATAGAGGAAGTAGGAGGACATAATTTGTGTAATGGTTTTTTTAAGAAGTATAGGAATTGGGTTTTTCATTCTACAGTTGATGAAGGGACCAATACCTTAGAAACTCCCATTCATGAAAAGGTAGTAGGTCAAGATGATATGGGTGGTTTGTTAAGAGAAGCCTTTAGGGCTGACATTCCAGATTCTCTTTTTGAATCCCAAAACATGCAACAAGAAGAGGCTTCATATGATATGCACGAAATAGGAGGTTCATACGATATGCACGAAGAGTTTGATTTTCATTGTGATGTAGGTGATTTAAATCCATCTACTAACTCTAGCGAAGAAGTGTCAAGTGTAAAAGATTAATGGATGCTTCTTATGAGGGTTTATACGATGGGTGCACTACTTTCTCAAAGTTATCGTTTCTTTTGCACTTGTTTCACCTTAAGTGTATGTGCCATTGGTTTGCTGAGTCATTCACTAAATTGCTTGAACTTTTAGTAGATGTATTTCCTTCAATCAATGAGTTTCCATCGTCTTACTATGAGGGCATGAAGATAATTAAGGACTTGGGATTAGGTTATGAGAAAATTGATGCATGTCCAAATGATTGCATGTTATATTGGGGTGAATTTGCAGAAAAAAAAATGAGTGTCATGTTTGTCATACATCAAGGTGGAAAATTGCAAAAGGGAAGGAAGGTGGTTCAAGTGAAAAAGGTAAAGAATCGTGTAAAAAGGGTGAGTCAGCTAAGGTATTGCGATACTTTCCTCTTATCCCTAGATTAAAAAGACTTTATATGTCATCTAAAACAGCAGAGGAAATGAGATGGCATTTTGGTCGAAAGGATGATAAGGTTCTAAGGCACCCAGCAGATGGTGAGGCTTGGAAAAAATTTGATGAAAGATATCAAGAATTTGCCGCTGATCCTCGTAGTGTTAGGTTGGGTCTAGCAAGTGATGGTTTCAATCCATACCGTCTTATGAGTTCTAATTATAGTACTTGGCCTGGGGTCTTAATTCCATATAATTTACCACCATGGCTTTGTATGAAGCCATCATCATTAATATTGTCCTTGATTGTTCCCGGTAAATATAGTCCAGGGATTGATATTGATGTGTATTTGCAACCATTAATCCATGAGTTAAAATTGATATGGGATGGTGTTGATGCCTTTGATGCTTATAGTGGAAAATACTTTAAAATGCGAGCAGCCTTACATTCCACTATAAATGACTTCCCTGCATACGCTATGTTGTCTGGTTGGATTACAAGAGGTTATAAAGCTTGTCCTTCATGTGCCCATTCCACTCACTCATATTATTTTGGTGGTAAAATTTGCTACCTTGGACATCGAAAATGGTTGCCACTTGATCATCCTTATCGTTCTCAAGCCCATTTATTTAATGGGACACAAGAACATGATGTTGCTCCAGTTCCTACAAGTGGGGAAGACATTTTAAAGGAACAAGAAAGGATTAATTATGTATATGGAAAGTCAAAAAAACCCTCCAATAAGAAAAGAGAAAGAAAGAAAGGTGGGATATCCATTAATGAATTTGATGATGACCATGGTGAGAAAGATTCTAATAATGTTCTTTGGAAAAAGAAAAGTACATTTTTTGACTTGGAATATTGGGAATACAATCTTCTAAGACATAATTTAGATGTTATGCACATTGAAAAGAACGTTTGTGAAAATTTGTTAGGAACTCTTTTAGATATGGACAATGCTAGAGATGAAAAGAGTGCAAGAGAGGCCCTTGAGAAGTTAAATATTAAATCTTATCTTTGGATTGATACAAGTCGAAATAACTATATGCCTCCCGCATCATACAATATGTCTATAGAAGAAAAAGAAAGGTTTTTAAGAGTCTTATAAAATCTTAGAGTTCCAGATGGATATGGATCTAACTTGCAAAGATGTGTGAACATGAAGCAACGAAAACTTATCAATATGAAAAGCCATGACAATCATATCCTCATGCAAGATATCCTTCCGGTTGCTTTAAGAGCATCAAATGCCACGAAAGTAATTGACTTGATTGAGGAGTTGTCTGACTTTTTCAAACGACTATGGTCAACTTCTATTGATACAAAGGAGTTAGATGATATTCAATCTAAGCTTGTTTTGACACTTTGTAAGATGGAACAAGAGTTTCTACCAACTTTTTTCACAATCATGGTTCATCTATTGATTCATTTAGTGGATGAGGTTAGACTCGGTGGACCAGTTCATTACAGATGGATGTATTTCGTTGAAAGGTCAATATCTTAACTTATATTTTCAAAGCTTCGTTAAAATAAATAATATTATCATATTACTTTTTTTTGAAGATTTTTTATATTCACATTCATTTTTATATTAAAGGGTACTTGGCATTTTTGAAATCTCATGTAAGTAATAAAGCCCAACCTGAAGGGTCCATTGCCGAGAGGTTCCTTTTATGGGAAACAATTACATTTTGTTCGAGATATTTAGATAGTGTTGAGACCATATTTAACAGACCGAAAAGAAATGAAGATGGTGTTATAAAAAATATCTATTTATTTAATTCAGGCTGTCGTGTGGTTGGAAAACAGGATAACTTTCGTCTTAATGATAAAAGTTTAAAACAAGCTCGTCGTTATATTTTGCTTCATTCAGATGAGATGAAACCAATTCTTGAGTAAGTATTACAATAAATTAATAACTTCTTGTTTGTTAGCTATTATTATACTATTAGTTAACATAATTTTTTCTATGTCTAAAGTGATTTCATATACCAAAAAAGACAAGAGAATCACTTTCAAGTGAACGAAGTTGTAGAAAATGGGTGGATAGTCAATGAATTTTCTGGGTGGTTACAAAATCAGGTGACTAAATATCAAAGTTAATTTTTATTTTTTTATTCTTTTCACATAGGAAGTCCTAATCAGGCTTAACGCAAGATTTATTTATTTATTTATTTACATAGGTCCACAACATAGATGATAGTACAACAGAAGGAAAGTTGAGAAAAGCATTGGCTGGTGGTTTAAGTAATCGTTGTAAAAGGATAAAAAGTGTTATCATCAATGGTTATAAATTTAACATTGTGGATCGCGAGCGATATCGAAAGACACAAAATTTTGGCATTATGTTAAAGGCAGAAGGCCAAGAGTATTATGGAAGACTCAAAGCAATATATGAATTAGATTATTATGGTTCTCACAAGGTTATAATGTTTCATTATGATTGGGTTGACATAAAAAGGGGTTTGAAAAGATACCATACTGGGAACGTTTGTGTAAATTTCTTGAAGCTGATGCACACTGGGCAAAATTTATATGATGATCCATTTATTTTCTCATCTCAAGCAAAACAAGTGTTTTATATCGAGGATGAGATAAGTAAAGGATGGTTACATGTTGTTAAGACTAAGCCAAGGGACTTGTTTGATATGGGCGATGATGAGACTTAGTTTTGCATATGTTGACTTTTTTGTTTAACATCTTATAATTTTCACTCTCGTTTCAAACATTATATTCTATGCATTTGAAATATTCTTTTTTGTCTATCATTTTTATGCCAAGGTTTATGCTCCTCATTTAGCAAGTTAGCATTCTTGATACAGAGTAGTTTTCTTATGTACGATATATTTTCCCTTTTCCTCTTCCAGTCTCTCTTGCAGTTTATCTTTGATTTTGAGGTAATTTATAGAGGAAGATGGCTGTTAATCAAAATTTGTCTCTTTCTTGAGCTTTGCTTGAGTTCAGGTACAATGTAGAAAGTTTGTTGCAGAGTGGCTCTTGGTTGGCCTTTTGAATTTAAAGAAGTAAAACTTTGGTCTCCTCTCTTTTTTTTTGGCTCACTTTGGATGTTGTAAATCTAATACATTGAGATGACATTTGGTAAAATTGTGGTAATAAGGACGTATGTTGACAACTATATAAGGGTCCATTAACTCTTTTTAAAGGATGGACTTTTACAATGAAGCTAGTAAAAGAGATTGAATTGGTTACTGTAAAAACTGCCAAAACATTAATCATGGATTGATTGTGAACTGATATGCTTCTCTTCCTTACTTTATAGATGAGAGGTATTATTGATTGTATGACTGCTTTACCTTTTTACACATGAGCAGGAGTACAGAACTGAGCCAATTAATCGGTTGTTGATTTTTTTTGGAAATTCACTTCGTATTATTACTGGTGGATACAAATGAACGGGTGGCAGTAGTTAGTTATGCAACTGCTTGTCATAGTAGTCAACTTTATGGACTTAATTGCTCTTAAATTTTTTTTTCCTTTCAGGTTAGTCAAGATGAGTTATCGTAGCAAAAGAACAAGGGCAGCTGGCCTTGCAGCCACAAATGCACCAGATACAGTTTCAAATAAGGCTCCAAAATTGGTATCATCACAACCACTACAAAAAGAGCCTAAAGCTTCAATACCTTCTACCTCAGTCCAAAAATCAGGGGAAGCTAATGGTAGATGGGGACCATTTACCCCACGAAACACTCAAAACCCACCTTCATCTCCCACTACTAATATAAGTACACAACCTCCACCCCCACAAAGCAATCCAATATGGAAGAAACCACTCATCAATAATGTACCAAGTTGTCTTAGCAACACTAGCACTCAAGACCTCCCTTTATCTTCAAATACTAGCACAAGTAAACCTCAAAAAAGCATTCCTACAATGAGAAAACCCAACTAATGTAACAAACCCTCCAAGCATAACTAAGACTCACAACTTCCCATCATCTTCTACACAAAACACCTCTACCGTTCCTCAAAAAATTCCACCTCCTAAGCTATCAAAACCACCTATATTCCCTTCTACTTCCCATACTTCTCATCAACCATTGTTACAAGAAATGCAAGATGATCATACTGCAAATAAGGATAAAGGGAAGCATGCATGTGGTGGAGCAGCAAAAGAAAAATCTAAAATTTTCAAGCTTCGACGTCGTGCATCGCTTCCCAAATGGCTCGGTGCAATTGAGTATGATGACAAAGAAGAGGTTCTAACTATTGGTACATACCTATTCTTATTTATTTTACATTGATATGTTTGTGTATTGATCATGAAATTAACTGGTAAAATTTAAATTTTCTAAAAATCGCATACTAGCAGCCTTATTTCTAAAATGGCAACACAATGTGTCACCATGTTATTACATTGCTCTCTTGCACTAATTTTCATACTAAGCTAGGTTCTTTTATTTTATGTGTTGTGTCCTTGATACAATCACTATTTGATTCTCTTTTTTCATAGATACTGATGGTAAGAAGCGATTAGTTAGTGGACCCATTCCGCAAATTGAGGTTTGGAATAACAATGGTGTTAAATATGTTGTGCATTTCAATGATTTTTGCCAACCAATTCGAAAAGGTGGGCATATATTGGTCCAATTCCTTGGTAGCATTGCAAAAGAAGAGCGTTTCTGCCCACTTTCAGAGAAGACTTGGCGTAAGTTGGACGCCTCTTTTAAGAGGGACATCAGTAAAGCAATAAGGGTATATATTCCATTTATCACTTAGTTAAAATTTATTTGGATTATTATATACATTTGCTCATGGAATTATGTTTTATTAAGGACCGCTTTGTGATCCCCGATGAGGAGAAGTATTACACCCAAGCTCTACAGCGTGTCGATAAAGTTTGGAGGAATTATAAGCATGATCATAAGAAACGATACTTTAAACCAGATGAGAAATCAATAACAGAAATTGTTGATAATCCCCCAAATGGAGTTAGCAAGAGTAATTGGGTTAATTTGGTTAACTATTGGAATTTAGAGAGAGGGAAAGTAAGTATTTATCATATGAATGTTACAGCTATCGCAATGAAATCATATATTCTGTTTCATTTTTCTCTATTATAAATTTTAAAAGTTGTATGAATTATTGCAGGAATTGTCTGAAATCGGAAAGAGGCAAGAGCATCTCTAAACCAAATTCATAATTCTGGTGGTACAAGCTTTGCGAATAGACGTGCTGATTATGTATGATTTATTTACCCATTGATTACAAATATATATAATGCATAGTGATGCATAAAATTGTGGTTGGCATTTTTTGAAAACAATTCAATATGTAACCTATATATCTCTATTATTCTAATTTATAGGAAAATGAGCACGGAGAAGAAATGAGCCTATTTGAACTATGGAAAAAATGTTATAGAAGAAAAGATGGAACTTTTTACGAAGGCACAGACACAGAAGATTTCCTGGTATTAGTTCTTTTTGGTTGTTTATCTTCTGATTTTTGATAATTTGACTCTTAACATATACATGTGTCATATATGTTGTGCAGGAAGATGTTAAGGCTAAGGTTGAAAGCTTAAGGCTTGCATACCCTGATGGTTCAAAGTCGCGTATTGAAATAGAGAATGAAGCTTTTGAGGCTAAATTGTATGGTGGACAGATTCCTGAAAAACCACAAGGCTTCGGTTTTGGAGTTCAAAGTGGAGACATTTATGGGGTGCGTGGTGCATTAGAAAAGAAGGGATTGGAAAAGGAACTAGAGTTGTGGAATTGGGCAACATGTCATCGGAGGTATCAAGTTTGAAAGAAGAAAATAAGGAGCTTCATAAGCAAAATGAAGAGATAAAAGGAAAGTGTGATGAGAATACAAAGCTACTTAAGACAATGACAACACTATTTTCTCAAGTTTTAGAATCCATTCGTAGTGGAGAAGGTTCATCACAACTTCTAGATACTGCACAACTAGCCTTGCGTATGGCTAACCCTCAGGTAATATGGTTAAATAATTCCTCACTCCCTTGTTTATTTGGCTATGACAATCAACATATATGTAACCTTGAAATAACATGTTATGGTGCTTCATTAACTGTGCACAAGAGATTTATAAGCCTGCATTATCAAGGGAAAAATATAGGGAAGAAACAACTTATGTCTGCTACAAGAGACAACAGATTCAAAAAATTTCAAGGGTAAAAAATCATAATAACCCTGACCTGACAATGATTCCAAGCAGTTGTTTATGCCACTGGATTCTATTTAATTATTTATGTTGTGTTATCATTTAGTTGGGTGTTGCCTGGTGTTCTTGATTTGTTCATATTTTTGTAAGGATATAAATAACCAGAAATGAATCTATTGGGTGTTTCTTGGTGGTTCTGATCTGTTCATATTTTTGTAAGGATATAGATAACCAGTATGCATTCCCCACATATGGCAAAATCTCTGGATATCATTTATTTTGGCACGATGCTTTACTTTATCTAGGTTCTGTATTTCCATAGATCAAGTTGTAATTGAAATAGACGGAATAGGTTAGAAGCTTTTCTCGTAAACCTAAAGAGGTTCGTCTTGCTTTTATGCTTTGTGGTTTTGGATCGTGAGCGTTATCGAAAGAAACAAAATCACTGTCATTTTCTTGTTGTTGGTGTTGTATTTATTTCAATGTGTTAGAACTTAATAAAAATAAAGCAGGGAGTAGGAAGTGGAGTAGGTGAGGCAATCAACGCTTTGCTGTAATGCAGATCATTAGGGAGCAGGGGTAGAGTAGACGAGGCAGTTGAGCTCATAAATATGATTTGGGGCTTCCTAATTAGAAGATAAATATGATAACCACATCACATTGAGAACTGAAAATAGTTTGGTATATATAAATGCATTGAACAGAAGAAAAAAAACTTGAGAACAAGTGGTCACATGACTCTTGTTATTATCCCAGTTTGCGTCTAGAATTTGTATGCTTCAGTATATATGGTTGGGTTCTGCTGCTAGATGGCTGCCACCGCTTGCAAGAGCTGTGTAAGTGAATATAGATGCAGGCTTTATTTGGGAGTTGGGTTGTGGTTTGGGTGCTGTTGTGAGGGACAAGGAAGGGGTTGTCAAGGCAGTAGGGGTGCAGCAGAGTAGTACTAATTAGGAGGTAAGGGTGGCAGAAGCAAAAGCTGTGGTGTGTGGGCTTCGGCTTGCTGCAGACGCGAGGTTGCGAGAGGTAATCATTAAGAGCTATTGTTTTGTAAATAATTTGAGAGCGGTTGTTTTGAGACTGATTGTTTTGTTGCAAACCTGAGGTAATGTGTTAATTATTTTTGCAAAACCTATATCCTACTAGCTGGTTCCAAGAATTTATTTCAAGTAAAATCTTATTCATAACTATACAATGTTTACAAAAAAATGATCACCAACCTAGATTAACGTGGTATAGAAAATTATTTAATGGGATTCAAGCTACACCAGATTGATTGGGATCATTGATATTCAAAGCGTGCAGCTACTTTGGCCATTAGCCCCTTTAATTTTTATATTTTTTTTTATTATTTTTCTAAAAAATTTGCACTGTTATTTTATATTTATTAATTAGTTTGTGGGAGTTATGTTTGTTCCCTTTACTTACCCTCCTACTGATTGCTTCGACATATATGCTGCTGAAATTCCAAACATTGCACCTTAGCCCTCTGCTGTTCAGTTTCATTCAAGTAGCTTATTTTGCTAACATCAGGCTTTTGAACTATATCTTCTCTCCCTGCCAACTACTGAAGTCTATCATATATACTTATCCTAAGTTTGCTTTATATTATAGTTTATGTGCTTGTAAGTTAAACTTAAATCACATACAGTGGCTGCTTAAGTGCTCTATGTGTCTATCTTTTGCTCTGATGGCTGTTATCGGTAACTCTATGATCTAATATATACTATCTCGCGTTTGTGTTAAAAAAAAGTGGGAGTTATGTTTGTTATATATGTACAGAAAATTACTTACATTTTTTAATATCAATTTCAGGTGTCTAATGACTCCGTAGACCATGGAGGCGGAAGATATGAATCAAGGGATGTTTAGCTCGTTTAACCATTGACTCAGATTAGGAAACTTGTAATTATATTATTTGGCTAGATTTGAATGGTTTTTGAGATGACCATAGATTCAACAGGTTGAAGATCATATATTTTAGCTTTGAGGTTGTCTTTTGGATTCTGAAATTAGCTAAGAATAATTATGTAGTAGTTCAAACATATTATTTGATAAGCTTTACTTTAAATGTTATGGTACGATGTATTATAATTATTTTAGAATATATATTTTGGACGTACGTACTATTATTATTAATTATATTACCTAGCCTCTTAATTTGTGAATTTTTTTTTTCAAAATTGCAAATTCGGATTAGTATTTATACATATTGAAATATTCCATTGTCCTAATATTGAATTTTAGAAAAGAAGGGAACTCAAATTCTCGACGCTTTTAAACGTCCATCTAATATCCCGCAAACACTTGCTATGAGCCGCGAAAATAAACCTGCCTACATTGAACTGCGTCGACAACGAAATACTTCGATAGTTAAAAGTGTCGATATTGTCGACGCTTTAAAGCGTCAAATAAATATTTAGACAGGAAAAAGTGTCGACAGTATTGACGCCTAAAAGCGTTGAGAATTCTCGACGGCCAAAATCTCGACGCTTTACCAAAGCGTCGAGATTAATTTTTCGACGCTTTTTGCCGTCGAGAATATGGAAAAAAAGCGTCGAGATTGAGCGGGTTTTGTAGTAGTGCTTGCAAACCTAGGCACCTAGTCTATTTATAATCTCATTATAATTAGACTAGGGCACGAAGCCCAAAACTCTCTTATAATCCCCATATGGTCGGCCACCTAGAGTGATGAGGCCCATGATGGGCCTCATCCTCTAATGCTCGATCTAGCCCCTTTGTGTGATCTTATAGGATCCGTCCAATTGGGCTTTGGGCTATTTTACCAGTCCAAAGATCGTTAGTACCTCTAGCTATGGAAAAACGACGACCCAAAAGTACGAACTTAATTATCTCCATAATTTGATCCAATTATATATCTAGTAATTGCACACGACGAAGACATAACTCCTTCAATCTCCCACTTGTCTGAGACAAGGGTGCAATATTCAAATTCCTTAAGTCAATATATGTGTCGATCTGATAATATGATTGCATCACATGTCGAGATCATATTGGTCTACAAATCTTTTCTTGAAATCTGAGTTAGAATTACAAAAACCAAATGATTACTGTGTAATGCATTTGAACGCGGCCACGTATTTTCTGAATTCTCCCTCTTCAAGCGGCCATGACACATTTCCTAATTTAATAGGTAGACTCTATCCAATCTTGTGGCAACATGACTCCCACTCAACTTCTGAAATAACCGGGAAACACCCTTTATAATCTCCAGTTACGGCTAGACATTTGAGTGTACCACAGTCACAACATCCATTGAATGAAATCAATGTTCCACTCATGTCAAAGGAATCCACTAATATATACGGAAGCTCTATACTTGAACTTCAAAGTAGGTCAATAGTTCGATCATGCATCATTCATGCATATCCAAGTGATTGACCGAGCATCACTATGCCCCTATAGGCCATGAAACTGCGCTATCCAATCAATCTTACATGCTAGTTCATTTATTGAAATCATTTATGTCCACTTTAATGATCTCGAACTAGGAACTTAAATAATATATGAATTTTGTTCACCTGTGGGGTTTTAATTCACCGGGTCATCAACCTAATGAGCCCATCAATTCATAATTATTTTGGACATTTTATTTAATTTTCAAAACCATAATTAAATAAGAGAAATGATAATTTCTATTTTAAACATAATTCTGCAAATTGATGCATTTCTCATGTAATATGTTTTCTCAAAACATATACAACTTAAATTACATAACTTTCTTCAATCCTAAGACTTTAATATTACTCTCATACTTTTGTCCATGGAAGGGGTTTAGTGATTTCTCACTCATAATAAAACTTTGCAGAACACGACCTTCCGCTGGTCAATGATCTCATAATTGAGGTGATATCTCATATCCTTTTGTTTGGATTTGTGATGTGACTCTGGCTCCTTTATTCTCGGGCAAAGGTGATCTGTTAGTCACTTAACATTTTAATCCGAACTTCCTCTGTAACTATCTGACTATAGTTTAATACACATATTCCAACATTGAGTATGCAACATTGCTCCGCTTTGAACTCTTCAAGCTCACTGTCCTTTTCCATCCAGATACAAATATGCATTTAGATCACCATCTAGAATCATCTTGCCTGTTTGAAAAATTTGCATTCGTGTAACCTTTTGACAACTTGCTTAAATTACCATTTAACACAATAGCTAGAAGAATTCCTTTTGGTGCTTCTCAAGTACTCAAGGATCTGTTCTTAATTCTCCGTATGCTTATTCTGAATTTGCTTGAAACCTGCTACACATGTACAAGTCATATGCAACATCTTGCTTTTTACATTTCATGGCACATATAATGAACCTTTTGCAGAAGCATAAGGTACACTATCCATACAACTCAACTCTATTAGCTTTTGAAGCACTGAGTTTTACTGAGTGTAATACCATGAGACATGGGAAGACATCCTCTCTTAGAGTCTTGCTTCATGAACTTGTCAAGATCCTTATCAACATAAGTCTCTCGATTCATTCCAATCATTCTTCAAGATTCACTTCATGGATCGATCTTGATTCCCAATATGTACTCAACATCTCCTAAGTCTCTCATATAGAAACAATCTTTCTAACCATTGCTTGACTTATTCAAGCATTGATATATCATTTCATATGAACTGTATGTCAACTACATACTAGACTAAAAGACCAATTGCTCCCACTAAACTTCTTGTCTCTACAAGATTCCCTTTTCATTCCATTAAGAAAATCAAACTGTTTTATTGCTTAATCAAAACGAATGTTCCAACTCCTTAATGCTTACTTCAATCCATAAATGAATTTCTGAAGCGTGCAAAACTTTCTAGGATTTTCTGAATTTCAAACTCTTAGGTTGTATCATATACATTCTCACCATCAAGAACATTTCATGAAGGCGATTTTGATATCCATAACTAGAATAATCCGAATAGGCTTACCCAACTAATAGGTTTGACCCTATTTGTAAGACTATTATGGACTAACACAATTTTACAAACATGGAGTCCATACTGGATTTCATGTCTTTAAGCCATTTCCTGAGTTGGCACTTATCCAAAGCTTGCTCGTAGGTCATGAATTCTAACCGTTCTAATAAGAAAATTTTAGAATCCATCTTTTCTCAGAATTTCAACAAACTGTTTGTTTTGATCCTAAGTAACCTACGATATGTATGAGCGACAATAGAATTATTCTCTTCAACTCTTTGAAGCCTTTCATTCTAGTGGGACGATAGAAGCCTCGCTAGTGGAATTAGCTTGCTTCGACACATGGTTTATCAAATTAGTTGATTTCATGTGCATTCGTCTCTGATGTAGTGTTATCCACATCCATTTGTTGCTTGTCTTGAATCTTATCGAGATCTAACTTTAATCCCACTTGGCTTTGCAGGAAGACATTCTTTCTATAAAGACACTATCGCGAGCAACAAACATTTTGTTTTTACGCGATTGTAGGAATAATACCTCTTAGTTTCCATGAGAAAACCCATGAAGAACTATTTTCTGATTTAGGGTGTATTATGTTATCTTTGTAAACATTTTACATTGATTTCATAACCCTTAATCCTGTTTAGAAAAGATAACTTTTGGAATATTTCCAAATCATAACTCTTATGACATCTTTTCTATTGCTTTGGTTAAGTTCTTGTTTAGTATGTTCGCAATTGTTGTTGTTCTAATGCATATCCTTAAAACGATATTTGTAAATCATTAAATCTTGGATCGAACAATGGCAAGCAAAGTTTGATTCCTTCTTCATAAACATACACTTTAATTGTAATGTTTCTGGATTGTGGATTAATTCAACAATTCCTTTTAGATGATCATTCCTTTTTTAGTAAAATATTTATCACAACAATCATATTGTGGCGTTAAATTTTTTTTATCTCAAACTGATTTTACATTTCATTTTGGAATTTTGAACATTTCAATGTTTCCTAGCTTTACTTCATTAAGTAATTATCGATATATTTACTTAAGTCGTTAGTAAAAGCAATGAAATAGTTAAATCTCTTTGCTAATTTTGAACTTATTGGTTCATATACATCATATGTATGAGTACCAAAAGGTCATTTTAGCTTCTTTTACCCTTTCTACTAAAAGGCAACTTAGTCATCCTAACTTATCAAGCATGACTTCTAATTCTTAAGTGATTCATAATCATATAAGAATAAGAGTCCATCCATAACTTTGGATGTGCAAATGGTTTATGTGACCCAACCTTACTCGTTTTAAGTAAGTGTATTTTGAATCATCTAAACTTTTACTTTTGTGATCTACTTATATCAATGTTATAAAATAAAATTAACTCATATCTAGAAAAATGAAAATAATTTATTACCTTGGTCATGGATCAACACTTGTCCAAACCAAGTAAACCAAATTCAGTATTCAAAACAAGAAAACCAAAATATTGTCTCATCAAAAACTAGAAATTTTTCTAAAATCATGATAATTAATCAAAATTTAAAACTATGAAGCTATCTCTGGTCACTCAAACACTTCTAGTGCACCTTCAAGCTCCATTTCCAAGCTAGCTTCACTTGTTTGCAATTCCTGAGGTTGACGTTCCATTCTTCTTGAGGAAGTCGTGGTATTTCTGGCAATTACGCTTCCAATGCCCCTTCTTCTTGCAGTAAAAGCATTCACTCTCACTTGCAGCCTTGGGCTTTGGAGTCGTCTTAGGCTTTTCAGGAGCCTTGACAACTTGCTTGCCCTTGCTCTTGGCACTAGCCTTTTGCCCTTTCTTCTTGAACCCCTTTTCCCTTTTGAATCATAAGAACTTCCTTCTTAGGTTCCTTAGGGATTTGTTTCTCAGCACTAACCAGCATTGCATGCAATTGATTCATAGTCTTTGCAGTGGCAGTCATGTTAAAATTCATGATAAACTAGTTGAAACTTTCTGGTAGTGAATGGAGAATGATGTTTGTTGCCAAATCATCACTATATGGGTGCCCCAGTTTCTCCATACTTTGAATTAGGCCGATCATTTTGAAAACATGATCATGAACTGTGGCACCCTTCTCCATTCTACAATTCAGAATCTCACGATGGAGCTCATACCTTTCAACTCTAGCTTGTTTCTAAAACAAGGCTTTGAGTTCTTGCATGATTGAATAGGCATCCTGGTCCTCA